ACGGGGAGACTGAAGTGGGGAGCATGTTATAGTCGTGGGGTGCTCTGTGGTCCATGAGTGTGAGTGGGTGGCAGGGCTTGGGCTTATCAGCCCACTGGTGTCTCTTGGAGTGGGCAGCCCTTGTGCCCATTGCTGGAGTTGTGTGGGCATCCTTCCCCACACTGCTGGCAGGAGGGGGTGCAGTGAGGGAGTCTCTGCAGTGGCTGTGGTGCCCTGGTTGACCTGGGCTGCCCCGCTTGGGGCTGGCACAGCATTTGGCACTTGGGTCCTCATGGTCTCTTGTGTAGGCTCTGCCATTGTCACCCAGGGCATGGCAGCATGTCTGGTGTGGGCACAGAGTGCTGATAACCCAAGGGCTCCTTTGGCCAGATTCTGCAGCTGTGGAAGTAGCTGTGGTACCCAGCACAGTGCTGTGAGGTTTCATTCCTGCTGGGAGCACGGGCAGGAGCAGGCAGCGGGTGCCAGCATGTCCTGGCTGTGCCAAAGAGCCTGCCGGTGCTTGCTGGATTTACTGGTGAGGCAAGGGTGAGCCACCAGCCTGTCCCCAGCATGGAGCCTAACAGCTCCATCCCCAACACCAGGCTCCTCCTGGCTCTGCCCCTTCTCTGGCACGTCATCCCAGGGAAGAGGAGTGAGGTGCTTTTGGTATCGCGTTTTCTGGGAAGGCTACCTGACTCACACCCCTGGGAAGTAGCCAGTGAGGAGAGGGAGCTGCCAATCACATCCAGGGCATGAGGAGCATCCTAAAACTGAGAAACAGCCTGACACCTCAGCCCTTCTTAGCACCAGTTGGGCAGAGTGCCATGACCCTCTAGGTTTGGTTATTTGGCGCACTCGTGTCGCCATGGAACGACCAATTCGGGGGTGAAGCCGTGGGCAGGGGTTTCCAGGCGTAGGCAGATCTCTGCTCACAGCTCGATGCCCGAATCGGCTCTTCCGTGGTGCTCCCCGCGGCCGTGCCGGCCGGGCTTTGTCTCTCTGCGAGGCTCTATCGCCGCTATAAATAACCGGTGAGATCATCCCGTCCCCGGCAGCCTGCACGCCCGGCCGGGGAGCGCCCTCCCGTGGCACCGCCATGCCCACGCCGCACCGGCGGGTACGGACCGCGCACCCAGCCCCTCTGCAGCCCCGTGCTGCGTCTGGGGGGGATGATGCAGGCTGGGGGGGTGCTCGGCAGTCCCTACATCACTTTTCCGTCTTTTTCCAGGTGCTGGTGCCCACCCGCATGGGGCAGGTGTATGTCTATGACTCCCCCAAGGGGGAGCAGGTTGAGTATGATTTTCCTCGCCACCTCATCTCCACGGGCTCCCAGGAGATCTACGACGTGCCACCTGTCCGAGGGGGGGTCCCGAGCCAGTTCAGCCAGGAGGTGAGGCTGCTTGTGGGATCGAGGGGGTATCTTTGGCTCCATCCTCTAGAATGGGAAATGACCTGGCACAGCTGGGGATCCAAAGCTGGGCAAATTGCACCCAAAACTGTGCACTTTATGAAGCTTGGAACTGCTTCTGGGCACCTCCATCTTTCCCAGTTGGTCCCTGGGCAGAGATGAGTACCCATGCCATCTCTGATATATCATTCTGTGTCCCCCTCTCCAGGTCTATGACACTCCCCCCATGGCAGTGAAGGGTCCCAATGGGCAGGACCCAGGGCAGGAGATCTACGATGTGCCCCCCAGCGTGGAGAAGAACCTACCCCAAACTGTAAGTGCTGCTAGGAACCTCCCAGCTTCTCTATTAGACAGATTTTTATAGGGAAAACAATAATTCACTCTCCCAGGGATCAGTTTCCCCAGAGATGTGATGGTGTCCCTGGCACTGGAGGCTTTCAGGATACCAGGAGGCAGGGTGCTGGATGTTCACATCCAGGGAATGAGTTTGGATTCCGTGATGTTCCAAGGTCCCTTCCAACCTGGGCTGCTCTGGGATGTTGTGATTCCTGTCCCAAAGGGCAGGGGAACCCCTGGGGTGCGTGGCTCCATCCTGGTGCCCACCCAGTGCCATCGTGCATGCCCAGAGGTGGCTCTGTGCCCCACAGCATTGGGTAGCCCGTCTGCACCTCTGTGCCTGAGCCAGGCCAGCCCTCCCAGCAGTGCTGACAGTGCCTGCTGCTCTGCCCTTGCAGGTGTACGATGTCCCCCCCTCGGTCAGCAAGGACGTGCCGGATGGCCCGGCACGGGAGGAGACCTACGACGTGCCCCCCGCCTTCGCCAAGCAGAAAACCTTCGACCCCTCCCGCCTCGTCCTGACCCAGCAGGAGCCCTACTTGCCAGAGGATGTCTATGATGTGCCACCGGCAGCTGGGAAGGGTGCTCCTGAGCAGCCGCTCTCCCACGAGATCTACGACGTGCCCCCCAGCCTCAAGAAGCTGGGGGGATCCACCTTCCCCTCCCAGGAGGTGTACGACGTGCCCCGGGACCTGCATGCCCCGGGTAAGGGCTCCGTGGACACAGAGGGCGAGTACATCTACGATGTCCCACCGCAAGTGGACCGTGAGGCCAAGGGCGCCGACGCCAAGCGCCTCTCAGCCTCCAGCACGGGCAGCACCCGCAGCAACATCTCCACGTCCTCACTGGATGTGGTGCCCGTGAAGGAGCCGGCCAAGGGAGCCGGCAAGGAGTTCTCCCTGGACTTGGACGCCGCTATGGAGACACTGGCCAAGCTCCAGCACGGCGTCAGCAGCGCCGTCTCCTACCTCATGTCCTTTATCGGCACCAACTGGCGCAGCCCCGAGCACATGGAGGCCAACGCCGCCAGCATCCGCGGCGCGGCCGAGGGCGTCCGGACGGCCCTCCGGGACCTGCTGGAGTTTGCCCGGGGGGCAGTGGGCAATGCTGCCCAGGCCTCCGACCGCTCCCTGTACGCCAAGCTAAGCAAGCAGCTGCAGAAGATGGAGGAGGTCTACCAGGCCCTGGCACGGCACGGCCAAGCGCTGGACGCTTGCCACTGGGCCCCCAGTGCGCTGGCCAGCAGCAAGCCGGGCACGGATGACTTGGAGCACTTCATCATGCACTCACGTGGTGTCCCTGATGACACCAAGCAGTTGGCTTCCTTCCTGCATGGCAATGCCTCCCTCCTCTTCAAACGGACAAAGCCGGCGGCGGAGAGCGGTGGCCATGGGCCCCCTCACCCCTCCGACAAAGCCAGCAGCATCCAGTCCCGGCCCCTGCCCTCCCCACCCAAGCTGCTGGCCCAGGAGTCGCCCGACGGGCCCTACGAGAACAGTGAGAGTGGCTGGATGGAGGACTACGACTATGTCCATCTCCAGGTGGGCACAGGTGGGGGGGCTGCTCCCCACAGGGAGCATTTGTGCCGGTGCCTCCCCGGCACAGGGGGATTAGGCAGATCTGCTTCTGCCACACGTCTTGCTCTTATCCTCCAGCTTGAGGGTTGTGGGGACCAGGGGTGTCCTGGGGCAGGTGGGAGCTTGCTCTGGCAAGGCTGATGTTGCTGACCCCTTCCATGTCATGCTCCTGCAGGGCAAGGAGGAGTTTGAGAAGACCCAGAAGGAGCTGCTGGAGAAAGGCAATATCATCCGACAGAGCAAGGACCAGCTGGAGCACCAGCAGGTAAGGGCACCAGGGCAGGCAGGTAGGCACTGCTGGGCACAGTGCCCAGAGCAGGCAGGGCCCCAGGTCCTGCTTCCCTCATAACCTCTGCTGCCGGTCTGACCACAGCCCTCTTCCCTGTCTGTCCCAGTGGAGGGTTTTGTCTTGCCTTCCATACCATACCAATGCTGTGCCAGTGGAGAGGGGCATAGACACCTGGCTTCTGGAGAGGGGTGTGGTACAGTTGTCCTGGGGCTGGCACTGTCCCTTGCTCTTTTCCCTGGGGCTGGTGGCCATGGCCACCCGTGCTGGTGGCTCTGGGGAGGGGGAGCAGGTGCTGGCTCAGTGGCCACCCTGCCTCACACTCAACCCTCCCACAGCTGAAGCAGTTTGAGCGGCTGGAGCAGGAGGTGTCGCGCCCCATCGACAATGACCTGTCCAACTGGAGCCCTTCCCAGCACTACGGCCCGGCACGGGGCAGCGGGGCCCTGTGTCCTGCCGACCGCCAGCTCCTCCTCTTCTACCTGGAGCAGTGCGAGGCCAACCTTACTACGTTCACCAACGCTGTCGACGCCTTCTTCACCGCCGTCAGCACAAACCAACCCCCCAAGATCTTCGTGGCCCACAGCAAGTTCGTCATCCTCAGCGCCCACAAGCTCGTCTTCATTGGGGACACGCTGTCCCGCCAGGCCAAGGCCCAGGATGTCCAGCACAAGGTGATGCACTACAGCAACCTCCTCTGTGAGATGCTCAAGGAGATCGTAGCGACCACCAAGGCGGCCGCCCTCCACTACCCTTCTCCTGCCGCGTCCAAGGACATGGTGGAGCGCGTCAAGGAACTCGCCAACAGCACGCAGCAGTTCAGGATGGTGCTGGGCCAGCTGGCAGCCATGTGATGGCCTCAGGGCCACTGTCCCCTCTCTCTGGCCCCCACCCCTCCCCAGACATGTGTTCCCCTCCATGGGGGTCCTTTCCACCTGGTGTAAGCGGACATGTACATAGAGACTCATGCACACCGGGGGGCTGGGGCTCCATGGGGAGGGGAGTGATGGGCTGCAGCCATCATCTCCTTCCCTCTTCTTCCCTCTGGCCGGAGGCCAGGAATGGTTTCAGAGCTGTGCCCGTAATGAAGCAAAGCTGGGAGGTGCATCTATGCCCAATCCTTCCCTGCTGTCCTCTCTCTATACAAAACCGGCAGCTGGCCCTGGTCTGGAGGGCATGGGGCCGTGTCCCTCATGAGACAAGGATGTGCCTGGCAATTTGAGGTGTTGCTGTGGCTGCCCCGCTCTCGGGGGGGACACCAGAGCCACTCTACAGTGGCCAGCAGATTCTAATGGTGTGGAAGCCATCCCCTGTGGTGGTGGGACAGTATGACACAGATAGGTTGTACTGTCCCCCTGTGTGCTGGAGCCTGGGGATAGGGGTCCCCAGGGGGGTAAGGGATGGTGGGGAGCTGCTGGGGCAGGAAGGGCCTAACCTGTGCGTTCTCACGTCTCGGGGTGTGATACAGTACCAGCTGTAACCGAAACGCGAACTGAAATTGGTGCCTTTTGAACACAGGGGAAGCTTCCGCTGGTTCCCGGAGCTACCGCGTGGCAGCCCCCTCCAAAACTTGGCCCCAAGTCCCCCAGCAGCATAAAGATTTGCCTACAAACCCCCTCCATCTCCTGGGTATCTGTGTGTGCCTGCTGAGGCGAGAGAGAGCCCCTGGTGCAGGGCTGGGGGGATCCTGTCCCCCTAAAAGATCTCGTAGCCAATGGAGACTGCTGGTGCACAGAGGTTTAATGGGGCATGTGGGGGGTGGGGGAACTGAGGGGTGGCAGTGCAGGGCAGTGGGGCCACTCTGGCCCTGGCTTGAGGTGGGGAGGGCATCTCTCACAGCACATTGCCAGGGTTCATGGCCCACCATGACGGCTGTGGGTTTGGTGTGATAGAGAGGGTGGTAGCCCTCACCCCCAGCCTTGGTGGTCCTGGGCACCCATTCCTTCCAGCACCTTTGGGACACCAGTACCCCAGCCTCATGTGGACCCAGAGTACTGGGTCCATGGCACTCTCAGTCCTAGGGGCATCCCTGCTACAACTCAGGGACCATGGCAGATCCGTGGACCCCCCAGCATCGCCAGCCCAAAGACATCCCCTCTACCAGCACCCTCAGTGGTGTGACCCCCAGCCCCACGGCACCCCCATGCCCGCAGTACCGACAGGGAACCAGAGCCCGGTGCCACGCAGGTGGCTGTTGAGGGCCTTGCGGGTGACACCGGGCTCCACTGTCACCGAGAAGTCCTCCAGGCTCAGCTCTGCGATGCTGTCCATGCGGCTCAGGTCGAAGCAGACGCCGCCCTGGCACAGGGGCACCGGTGGGTCTTGGCACAGCTGAGCACCGAGAGCCCCTGGGGGGTCAGGGGGTGCCGGGGAACCGATACCTGCACGGCATTGACACCGCCCTCGAGGCCGGTGCCGGTGCCAAAGGGCACCATGGGCACACGCCGGCGGTAGCAGAGCGCGGCCAACTCCTGGACCTGCCC